TTGGTGAAAGTTTGACGCTTTGGTATATCAATACTTCAGACATTCTTTGTAATTTAATGGTTCCATTGGTCCATGGAATGGTCCATGTTGGAAAACACAACCAGAAAGTGTAGGGCCGAAAATCGCGTTTACAAAGCGCGTATTATAAATACATATACATTTATATTTCCCTAAAAAAATCTCACTTTTTCTCTATTATCTAAGTCATAAACTCTGACTACATTCGTGAAACTTATTTATTTTAACTCTCCCCTTTAATAAACGTTGAAACTTTAACTTCGTAGATAAGTTCGCTCTTCCTTTGAGCTGACTGTTCGTAAATATGGTAGCCGCTGTAGCCGAGAAAATAAAAGTTCTTCTATAAGTAAGAGCATTTTGTATCCGAATTTCGAACAGAGTTGTTGTATTTGAGAACGACGAACTGTTCTTCCGCCCAACCGACCGGGTGGTGCGCCTAAAGGATAATCGAAAATTCCAACAGGCCGATGGCCGTAAACCAGTGACAAATCGGACTGCCCTGAACCCGTTACCGTTCGCGGAAGGTCGCGTTTACACTTTCCTCTTACACTAAACAGCTACAGACTTTCTCATTAGCTGCTCTAAAATACATAGAAAACGGAGAAGGGAATTACGTATTTATTTAGAGCCCTTAGTAAAAAGGTTTTGATGTGGAAATGCGCTTAATGGGTTAGTAGAAAGCTTACAGAAACAGTTTATTATAATTTTATTAAATTATATTTCATATTAAAATTAATACCAGCCATGTTTTGGTTTTTTCCATAACAGCGCCATCTAGCGTGCAACTTTTGAAATGTCATGTAAAGAGTTTGGAATTAATTAGTTTGCTGAAACTCAACTGTACACATAAAAAAGCAATGTAATTTTTATAATTTCATGAAAATCTCGCCAAACACTGTACCTGCACGTAAATATGTTGTGTAGTTATTGTTTGTGGTTTTATGAATGCCAAAGCTTTTAAGTTGATTGGTTACAATAAACCATTTAGTATTGTAAGCCAATTTCCGCCGTAAATAAAAAACGCTACTTTTTCTAACAATCATTTGTTGTTGTGTTTTTTTCTACGCTTTCTTATTATTTTTTTTAATTTTAAACTAAATACAATACAAATACACTTGCTTCCATTATACACATGTATGTATATATATATATACATATATTTATATATATTTCGCTAGAAATTTATTTTGCAAACTTGTATCGGTATTTCACATATAATAATAATAATAATAATTAATTTTCGTTTTGCACTGCCATTATTTATTCCATTTCAAAAAGCTTCTTATCTTAGCATTCATATACATATTTCTACTGATCTGTTTTTAAACTATATTTTTTATAACTGTCACTTTGCCTCATTTAATTTTTTTTATATTTTTCCCTTATCTTTTCTTTCGGAAAATTTCCAGATTCTGATGAGTGCAGAAAAATTACATGTAAATATGTATGTACTATTTTTTTATATGATTCCTTTTTTACTAATTTTTTTTATGGCTTAATATATGCTTTAAGTATCTATATGTGTGTGACTGTGTGAGTGTGAGTACGCCAATCTTAAGTTTGTATTTTCTAATTTTCTTTTAATTTATTTACTTTGCCATTCACGATTTTTTTTTATCAAAGTAGCAATTATATTAATTAGTTTTTATTAGCTAAAAATGCTTATAATTGATGGTTTCATACACCCCTGTTTGCTTTTAAAGTTTTTTCTTTCTTCTATTATTTATTTATTTAGCTTTTAAGTTACCTTTATTCATCATCAGCTTTATCAGCTTCATTTTTCTCTTACTGCTTGATTGCCGCCAAATGTATTGCTATATATTTTATTTTTGTTCCGAGTTTTGCCCTTTATGCTTTGCCGCATTTTGCTTGTTTTTTTTTTTTTTTTTTTTTTTTGAATGTAAGCCCTTTTAACTGTAATTTTTTATGCTATTTTTTATATTACTCTTTACTTGCCTTTTCGCTTACCATTTTTGTTCTTGCTTAGCGCACTAATCTTCTCTCATAACACTTACGCATATATGTATATTGTTTTCATAATCAGTGCTTTAATGCATTTGGGAATTAACATTAAAAAGCTTCAAGGTAGTTGCATAAAGCTCACTTCCACATAAGCTTTCAACCTTAAACAGTAATTAAGCTTTCACAAAGCTTGACTCAAACAATGAAGGAGAAGTATTGCAATCAAAACAACATTATGTTTGAAAAATTCATATAAGACTAGGTCAATTTAGATGTGTATGTTTTGAGATATTTAAAAAAAAATACTCGGAGCTTACATATTTTTCATTAAGCTCAATAGAAAGTTTTTATTATATTATTATAAGTAATATAATATAAGCTTTTGTACACGCGCACTCCAGGGAAAAAAATTTGCGGCATACTCCCTCAAAAATTATTCCTTAAGTCGAAAATCATATACAATATTAAAACAAAAATAGAGAGCTTACAATGGGCATCAATAAATTTCCTTTGCGAAAAATAACAATTTTTACAGAAATTATATATTTTATGGAAAGCTCAAACTCTCATAATTTGCATTGAGCTTTTGTAAACAATTTCATTAAATCCATTCTTGTTTTAAATGGAATAAAAATCTAATTGGAAAAGTGTACGAACAACACTTACTATTGATTTACCTAAAAAAGCTCGTAGGAAAGCTGAAATAATTTTTTATTTATTTAGTGTTATTTTCACTTGATGAGATTGATCATAAAATTTCATTTAAACTCAAGTTGTAGTGAAAGCTTAATTAAATATTTCGTCATGAAAACACAGAAAAATAAATAAAAAGCTCTAAACTTTAAGCTTTTCCCAAATCAATTTTTGCTAGATATTGCAGTGTTTTTTCAAATACCACTTTTTTAGCGGCAAATTTTACTTGCGTTTAAATGCACTACACATTTAATATTACATACTTATGCATTCATTCGCCGTTACTTTCAAAAAAGCTTATCATCGTTACATTAGAACTATGTTGGCAACTCTTTCCATGTCATATAAGGTAGGTAGCAGTTTCACATTAATTACTTTTTCATTTACTTTCATTTATTTTAATTGTAATTAACTGTTATTTTCTTATTATTACATTCGTATGTTTGTTAGTGTTAGTTTGCAAAGCAAGCTCAACACTTTTTTTTCTATCCTTCTTCACCTTCTTCGCTGCAACTGCAACTTTTCTTGCTATGCGCTGACAATAGTTTCTATTAGCGATTATATTTTTAATGAATGTCTGTATGTATGTAGGTGTTGTTTTATTAAGTTGCAACTGAGTACAAGAGTTATGATTTTCCGTTTTTGTTAATATTTTTTCTTTTCGCAGTAAATTTGCTTTTACAATCATAATTTATTTTCTTTAACTTTATTATTATTTCTGATATATTTATTTATTAATTATTATTATTATAATATTTTTCTTTTTCAAAAACTTATCACAAAATTTATTGGGCGGAATTTTAGCGTGTACGAGATACATAAGTAATAAGTTTCTGCTGAATGAAATGAGAAATGTGGAAAGAATAAATTTAAAATGTGCTACATATTTATGTAATAACTAATAAGAATTAGGCATACATATATGTATGCTTTATGAGTACGTAGGTATGTATGTTTATACGTAATTTTAAAAACGATTATATGTGTTGACAAAATGTGCTTACCAACAGCTTAACCGCTAATTTGCTTCATTTCATTGACTTTTATAAACTTGCTCTTATATATATTTTATACTGTTCTTTGTTTATCTTATTATTTTATATTTTTTACTAATTTTCTATACTTTATGAGCTAACGAGACGGCATGAAAATTCAAACAAGAAAATTAATCGCATACGAGTAAGTATATTGCTTGTGTATGTGTGAGGCTAGGAGCTTCGATTTTTTATTTTATTTTGGTGTTGGTCGCTTTAAGTTTGTGTTAAGCTTTAATATCAATTATTTCAATTTTATTATTAATTTGGTTTATTTTATTTTATTTTGCTTATTTATTATATTTTTTACTTTATTTTATTTTATCTCGATTTATTTAATACTGTATTTTTATTTAGTTTAACGTTATTTTATTTTGTTTTAATTTATGAAATTTTGGTTTATTAATTTTATATTATTTTTTTATTATTATTGTTATTTTATATCCTTTTATTTTAATAAAAATTTTGTTTTAATTTAATTTTATTTCATTTTTGTTTTAGTTTATTAAATTTTATTATTCCATTTTCTTTTTTGATTTTTAAATTTATTTCAGCATCTTTATCTTATTTTCTTTAAGTTACTTTACTGCAATAATTTAAATTATATATTTTTTTGTTTAGAATTTTTAAAATTATTTTATTTTGTTAAGATTTCTTTATTCATTTGACGTATATTTGTTTGAACTCGTTTCATTGTATTTTTATTTTTTATTTATTTTTATTTTAGTATATTTCATTTTATAACATTTTGTTTTGATTTTATTTTGTTCTATTCTGTTCTATTTTATTTCATATTCTAATTTTTTATTTTAAACAATTTTATTCCATTTTGTGGTGTTTTTTATTTTATTTTGTTATGTTTTATTTTATTTTATATTATTGTTTTTTATTGTAATTAATGTTATATTATATATTATATTATTTTGTGTGTATTTTAAAATTTTTTTCTTTTATTTTATTTGGATTTTTTTAATTTTGTTTTTATTATCATTTTTTTTTAAATTTTTGTTTTGTTTTATTATATTTTATTTTATGTTATTTATTTTATTAATATATATTATTTTATTAAATTATTTATTAAATTTTATTTTATTTTTATTTTATTATTTTAATATAATTTTATTTAATTTTTGTTTTATTTAATTTTTTTAATTCGATTTTATTAAGTGTATGAGTGTTTTCGTTATGTTTTATTTGTATGTTATTATTTGTATAAATTTTATTATTTTGTTTGTATTTTAAAATTTTTTTCTTTTATTTTATTTGGATTTTTTTAATTTTGTTTTTATTATCATTATTTTTTTCATTTTTTTTGTTTTATTATATTTTATTTTATTTTTTTTATTTTTTTTTTATTAAATTTTATTTAATTTTTATTTTATTATTTTAATATAATTTTATTTAATTTTTGTTTTATTTAATTTTTTCAATTCGATTTAATTGAGTGTATGAGTGTTTTCGTTATGTTTTATTTGTATGGATTATAAAAACAACACGCAACTTTTCTTTTAAATTTTTCCATTAATTTTAATTTTCAATATATTTAATTTTATATATTTTCTGTTGTCAATTTTCCATAAGCTTTAAAATTCTGCGGCGAACTTTCAATGCTTTCAACACTAATTCCCCATTAAATGCTAATATTTATTATGCACTAATTATGTATGTAACATATTTGCGTGCATCATACAGTAATCGTGAGCAGAATGCAACCATGCGTATGGTATTTGAAGCTTTTAAGATTAAAATGATAAAAAAAAACTAAATAAGATGATTAACGCATTTGAAATATGAAGAAAATTTCTAATACTTTTTGCATTATAAAAATTAATTTACATACAAATAAATATTTTTTATATCTTATGCCCACTTCACGCGCATTTGAGTACATACAAATAAAGGTTTATTGACTTTGCGCCAAACACTTGTTACCTTCATTTAATTTTCATCTTCTTTTTCTTCTTCCTTAATGTATACATACATATTTACTTATGTAATGCTTTAAATTAAAATAATAAGTTTATAAGTTGTCCTTTTATTTACTTATCTCTCCGTTCCCTTTCTTTAAACTGCTTGTTTCGCCTCTCAGCAAACTCGGTTCTGTGTAATCCCACCGCATTTTCATTTTCATTTTCATCTTTCTCCTTGTACGCTTCCGCCACTCGTTGAGCGTTTTCTTAGTTTCATCTATTCGCTGTCATTTAGAATACCAACATTTGATCGGCGCTTCCTTCCGCACTGTCATCGTCGTCGGTTTCCTCATCCTCATCGTCTGAGGTGAGTGATGAGGCGTTATTCACAACGGACTCTGCATTGAGCAAAAGGAATGAGAATTAAAACAAGAAAATAGTGAAGATAAATTTATGCAAAAGCAAAATCAAGTGAAATAGAAATGTCGAGAGTTAAAAAGTTTTTGCCAATGTTGCTGTTGCTGCCGTTGCCACTGCTGGCTCATTTGTTAGTCAGGATGACAGATTTGATTGGCTTAAAAGTTGAAGTCGATTTTCCCAATGGTGCGGAAGAAAAATATTATTTTACCTTTTGTCACTATACTGATGGGCAAATGTATGTGACTGCATATACATATATGTATGTATGTAAACTCACATAAATAGGTAAGAAAAAGTTGGTCAGTTGGGTTTTTTCTCCATAATGGGGTCATTGAATTGGTCAACTTTTTTGGCAGGTGATGCCACTTTTCTTATCAAGCCTGATTTGTCTGAACATTAATTTTGTTTTCGTATGACAACGGGAAAATGACGTTAGAATGGCCGGTGTTTCGAGAAAAGCTGTACTCTATTTTCTTACAAGAACTATTTCGCTTCTCCCACTGTCGATGTATAAGGATATTACCTATGGATGAATCAGAAGAGGACTTTCTATCAGACCTGTTATCAAGTACCCGGAATGTTTGACGAAATCTGAATAAGAACAAGTCCTCTTACGATCCTTCTGTGTCTATGCTCAGATATTAAAAACTTATTTGCCTGGTCTGTGGCTGATAGGTCTGCTGTGAGGCTGATGTAAAAAATTGAACTGATAAGACGCTTTTGTTCAAAGTGCAACTTGAGGCGATACAAAGTTGCGTTTGAAGTTAAAATTTAAGCAAAAATTATTGTTGAGATAGATGAAAGATCACAAAAACCTACCGCAGGATGAGGGCGTTAGTTACTTTTTGTAAAGTACAGTTCAAGACTAGTGCGTAATTTTATAGATATTCGAATTCAGACTAATTGGTCTAAATTTGAGACACGCACAGGGGGTCTACAGCAGAGTACTTCTGCTAACTACCTAACAAAGAAAAGTAGTTTTAAAGTCAATAACCTTGTCTTTCATACGGTTGGAAAATAGACAAATTAAGAAAAATAACATCTACCTCCCCGAGATATTGTCTCTAGAACCTGTAAAAGGTATCCTCGGCGGAGTGTAGAGCCGATAAAGTATGAAGCACTGGAGTTGTACATTCGCGAGTGCCTGGATTTCGAGGAGAAGGACTTCTATGTAAAGTTTATTTTAAACCACCTTCGAAGGGCTGATGGATTTAAATGAGGAGTTTTTTATTTCATGTCAGTGGGCTTGAGATGGATTTAAATCTATTACCTTTCATCTACTACGGCTGCCTGTAGGTGAAAGAAAGTCAGGCAGCTCAGCAAGCTGTTCGTCGAGGCATGGTTGGGAAGTACCGGATGTGCTTCTTAACTTCACTCTTTCAACCAAAAAAAAAAACAATAAATCATGTTTTCTTGACGAAGACTCCCCTATTGAAAATATTTAGAAGTGTAGGCTTACTTGATTTCGTTGTGGAAATTTTATTGTAATTTTAACACATACAGATACTCAAATGAATGCAACCATTTGCTAAACTTTAAATAAAGCAAGACATTTCCTTGAAATATATTATTGTTCTTTATCATAAGCGTTCGTGCTAGCAAAGTGAGCCCCTTAAAGTTACCATCAAAGCCACTATGCACCGAAAGGAATGCATAATTTGTGCTGCATCCAAAAAAGCAAGTCAACTATTACTGAATTCGTAGGTATGTATATATGTTAAATTTAGTAAATTACTCCCTACAACCTAAATCACCAGATGACTAAGGTAAATATAATGAGGCATGTGCTTTAGCCACAATTTCCGCAGAAATTTCGATCGGATATGTCGATTAATGTCTTGTGTGACGACATATGGAAATAAATTGAAATTTACTCATAAATATATACGTACACCAAATTGATTGCGACTGTTACATAAACAAATTTCCTCTTATTGATTCCTTTAGTGTTTACAGCTCTACACAGAATGAAGTTGGCCTGCCTCTGCTTGTAGTGGGTTTTGACCTTCAAGCCCATCAAAAAAATCCTAATTAATACCTTAATATTATAGAGAAGCCACCTCACAGACCTTTGCAAGTGGACTTCGGTAGCAATTTTCGAATTTTGATTTTCGAGAATTTTCCACTCAAACCCATATATACGGTTTTGCTTGGGATTGTGAGACGTAATTAACTCAAATGTGGCATGCAAATTTAACTTGATATGCTATAATGTCTTCATGCTTGTTTATTTGTTCTTGTTGCTCTTGTTGTTGTTTCCTTATAAGTGACGTTCGTTAGGTTAATGCTTTCGATTGGCATTAGATTGTAAGCCATTCAAACCCTACTTTGTATACATATATTTTGCTATTGTATGTATTTATGTATATTCTAATACTGATATTTGTATTTCGTACAAATCTACAGCAACTTACCACAATTGGGCTTGCCTCGGGTACGTGTATTGGCGAATTCGACTCCATGCTTGTCCACACACCAGCAAACTCCAACGGAATTGTGACACTGGGTGGGTTTATAGAAACCCTGAATATCGCAATCGGGTGCATAGGCGCCTTCGTGTGATGAAGTGAGAATTAACATAACGGTATATGTGTATGAAGATAGACATCAGATGTCAATGGGAGCATTTAATTTGAATTAAAAATAAATTTTTTGTTTTTTAAATTATTATTGATTAAGTTTTGATTTGAGTTTTGATTAAATATTTGTGAATTAATATATGTAAATATATAGTACAAAGCACAAGCGGATCGAAAATGGTTATAAGTTAATTAATTGAAGAAATAAATTAAAGCAACCAAATTTCATATATGAAAGTAAGTATATTAAAAAGTATATAATGTATGTATGTAGTATATATTTGTTTGTACAAGTATATATATTTCGAAATTACATGGGCGTTGCTAAGTAATTAATAAAAAGTAACAGTACATTTGATTATATTGTCTTAAAGCATATTATGTAAATCGAAAGTTAGCTAGATGAAGCTTTAAAGCTCTAAGAAATTGTGAAAGCTTTATAGTGCCGTATAGAGTGCGAACAAGTTGTAAGCTTCAATACAAATATTTTTGAAAGATGGTTCTAAAAATTTTGTAAGTGTAATTTTTGAATATAAAGTAATTGTGTTTATGCATCTTCAGTATTGTTTTTAAGTAAACTCATTTAAATATTTACTACTAGCCAGTGTGCCTGCTTTTTATTTCATACTTTTTATTTGATTTTAATTATTTTCATTTTGCATTTTCTTTTTTTAATAATTCTATTTTGATTAAATAATTTAATTTGGTTTAGGTTTTTTTAATTTATTTAACTTTATTTTATTATTTTTATTTTTATTTATTTGTTTTCATTGAATTTTGTATTTTTTTTGCATTTTGTTTTAATTATTCCATACTAATTTGTTTTTTTATTTAATTTAATTAAGTTTTCATTATTTTAATATTTCATATTATTTTATTCTATTTTATTTCATTCTATAATACTTTATTTTAATTTATTACGCGTAATTTTTTTGTATCTTAAATCAAGTACAATAGTTTAGTTTAATTTGGTTGTGTTTATTAAATTCTATTCTATTCTTTTATTTTTTTTTTAATTAACTATTAGTTTTTAATTTGACATTATTTTTATATTTTTTATATTATTTTTTTATATTTAATTTTTTAATGAATTTTATATTTTTTCGTTTTACTTTAGTTTTCTATTTTATTTTATTGCATTATCTTTTATTATTATTTTCATTTTATTTAATTTTTTATTATATTGTTTTAATTTAGTTTATATTTCTATTTTATTTCGATTTCTTTGATTATTTTTTTTCATTTTAATTCATTTTATTTTACTGCATATTTACATTTTATTTCATTATCATTTATTATTTTTTTTTTTTTTGCAATCTACTTTATTTTAGAACAAATTTTATTCATTTTATTCTAATTTTATTTTATTTACTTTTACTTTTTTACATTTAATTATGACTTATTTTATTTTATTGTATTTAATTTAATTTATTTTAATTAATATTTTATAAATTGAATTAAATAATTTTATTGTTATTGATATTATTTTATTCTAGAACAATTTACTTTTGTTATTAATTATTTTGTATTACATTATATTAACTTTTAATTTTTTTTTTGCATTTTACTTAATTTAATTTTGTTTTATTCTCATTTATTATAAATTTATTATTTTTTTAGTTGATTTAATCTAATTTGTTTAATTTTTATTTCATTTTATTTTAGAACAATTTATTTCTTTTCCATGATTTTATTGTAATTAGTTAAATCTAATTAAAATAATAAATTTTTTTATATTATTTTATTATATTTTATTTAGTTTTCAATTTCATTCATTTTATTTTACTTTATTTTATTTCATTTAGTTTTATTTTATTTTGCTTATTACATTTCTTATATTATTTTACTGTTTCTATTTTTATATGCATTTTATGTTTTTAATTTATCTTTTTTACATTTCATTGTCTTCTGATTTCTACTGTTTTAACTTATTTTTCTTTATTTGCTGTTATCACTTTTTCTTGTTGTATTCTTTTTGATTTCTTGTTGTGTAGCAGTAAAAAAACGAAGAATTCAAAAATAAATAAATTATTAAAGAAATAAATGTCCACCTGTACCTATCTCACCTGCAAAGTCGCCAGCGATTCTTCGCCGAACCGCGGCGCATGGGCGATCGGTTTTCTCGAAACAACGACACCATTCGCGCGTATTAATCGAATTATCCTGATCCAAGTCGCACGTATCAATGAACGGCTTAATGCAACGCTCATTTTGATCATGTTCCAAATCGTACATTTCCTGCAGCGACAAATAGCCATCATTGTTCAAATCCAAATGTCCAAACATCCATTTGGCCTCGGTCTTGCAAGCAGGTGGGAAGTGCGCCTTAGATTTTTGGCTATGCTGTCGTCGTTTCTTGCTGTCGGCCATTATGACGGAGAACCAATCAAGCAGGCGATTACCGATGGCGGTCAACTGTTGTGGTTTGCATTCGGGCGATTTAGATGGGAAGCCTGTTCGTAAGTAGTTTAGGGCAAACGAGATTAAGTGATTAAATGTGTCACAAATGACGGTTTATATTTCTTTGTGCTGATGTGTGTGTGTGGATTTGTGACTTTGGAATGCTTGTGTACCCAATTAATGGGCGGTGGGAGGGTATTGTGTGTTATTGCGAGCAGAAAAGGTCACATTTAATGCGAGAAATTATGCAAATTGCTACATTGATTGCTTCTGATTGAGTGTTGTGGTTGTGTATGCTTATGTATAACTTTGTATATGTATATACACGTATGTATGTATATCTGCATCTGCCCATGTTTGATTACTCACCATTGTTCATGCTATTTTTGTTGTACTTTTGTGGCTTCTCAACAACCTCATTATAACCACGGATTTTATGTTTGTCCTCTGGGTATTGGTTGTCCTGCAATGGAGTAATCAAGAGGAAAACAAAATTAATTAACACAAATTTAAATGAATATGCCAAAATATTCTGAAATTAATAATCTAATTAATAGTAATATGTAGAGCTGCGTGGAGTTAATGGAATATTTTTGTTTCAAGAGCTCGAATTGATTCTTAAGTTCTTATTGAAAAAAAAAAAAACAATAATATAAAGACTCTTCCTGATATGCCCTTTCCAAGAAAATAAAATTTAAGAAAATTATATATGTATGTATATAGAAGTGTACGGAAATTAAAATACTAGCTAAGAAGCTTGCAAAGTTCTGAAAATCCATATATGCGTTGCTTTCAACTTCGTACAATAATTCCACAGGCTAAATTAGATAGGTTCCCAAGAGCTGTTGTCACCACGTTCTAAGTGAGCTAGTATGTTTTCTCTACGAAGACGGAAGGACACTTTTGTCAGTTTTGCCATGTTACAGTCTATCATTGGCGTTTTGTTATATTTTCTCTTGCGTCACAAGAACTCTCGAGACCATTGTCAACCTTCGGTTTAAAAATGTATCCTTGGAGTGTAATTATTTGCTTTAGCGTGCGGTTCTGGAATTGTTTAAGTGGTAAAAAAACTCGTGACACTCTGTTCTTTTGTGAAATATTTGATATCAAATCCAGAAGGCTTTGAACATTAATTCGGTTTGGCTTTTAGAAATTATGTCATTTTCATTTGAAAAGCTCCTTCTTAATTGGCGTGGTCGGTGAAATACTCTATAAGAACGTCAGGCTTTTGGTGCCTATAAGAGATATCAGCTAAAATCAGGTCCTTTCCTATCTCATTTTCTTCCAACAGAGTTGAGCTCTTTCTCTTTCACTGCCGCCGTCGAAATATATTTACCCATCCCCGGGATTTGACAAAGCAAGCGCAGTTGTTCTTTATTCACTTAACTATATTAATTTCGCTTATATTTAACTCTTGTACAGCACATCGTTCCATCTTATGAGCTACTCTACTATAAATGCAGAAAGAACCAGGAATCTTACATAAAATATTTCTCTCAAAAGCTCTTAGTGCCGATACATGGCATGTCGTTATTTTCCACTCTTCTGTCCCATCTAGCATCACGAGACTTATGAGCGTGCTGAGAGGTTTTTACTTTGTTCGTCGAGTGGGAATTTCACCTTTCAACTGTCTAATGAGTCCAAAGTAGCAGCTGTTGGCAAGAGTGATGATACACTAGTTCTCAAGGCTGACTTGCAAGCGCTGTTGATGGCGGTGGCTAAGTTCGACGATGGCAATATCATTTTTTGTAGAAAATATGAAAAGATTTTTAGAGATTTCTCGTTTTTAAGTCAACACACTCCAAAAGTTTTTGTGGTATGAATGTAGTCTTAAAATGACGTCTTCAGTATCAGCACGTCCTTGTACGTCCTTTAGATTTAACTTATTCTAGACTTACTGGCCAAACAGGCACTCAAAATACATAACTTCTGGTAAACTGAGCTTCAAAAAGCTAACACGGAGGTAGATGGTTGGTCTTTAGAGCTATTTATAGGCGAACGGCAAAGTCTACACTCTCTAAAGACATTGAAACCACTATTCTACAAGTGCAAAAACATCTGCTAAAAAGTTGCTGATGAAACTATTGTGGGAGGCTGGCTCACATGGAAAAAGATGTCCGCCTAAACACATTTTCTTGCAACAGACGACATGGGATTTGAGAGCAACCCACAGTAAAAAATGGAACAATATACGCTTCAACAACGCATTGAAATTATTTAAATTCACTTACAAAGCAAAACTAAAACATTTTCGGTCGTCTTAAATCATCTTGTCGGACCGCAATACATAAGTTGGTAAAAATGGAGCTGTTGATACAAGTTAGTGATGTGAAGAAGAAAACACGTACACGTCGCTCAGAAGCAACCGAGAATATTGCTGATGTAGCCCAAAATGTTGAAAAAACTCAAGTTTGTTTTCTCCTCGTCGTGCTTTCGAACACACAAACAACAGTACACCCTATTTTGCAAAAAGACTTGGGTCTTAAGGCTCATAAAGTTCATATAACACAAGAACTCAAGCCGAGCGATCATCAAGAATTTCGTGTGTTTGATTGGGCCTTGGAATGCATGAAAATAATCCGGAATTTCATCGAGTAATCATCTTAATTAAGGAAGCCCATTTCCCTCTTGATGGCTACGTCAATAAGCAAAACTGGTTTATGGGCCAATGGAGTCTTTGGATCTAAATTTTTAGAAAATAAGCTTGAAGCAACATCTACGGCGAATGAATTGCACTATCGAGAGATGCTTAATGATTTTTTATGGCCGGAAATGGATGGTTTTGATCTGGACAACGTTTACTTTCAAAAAGACGGCGCTACGTGCAACACAGGCAACGAAACCACCGACATTTTAAGCGAAAAGCTTCCGCACTGTGTTATGTCTTGAAGAGGGTATCGCAGTTGGCCACAGACATCTTATGATTTAAAACCTTGCGATTACTTTTGGGGCCACGTGCGAGGTAAGGTCTACGCCAAAAGGCAACGTTGATGTTTGTGCTGAAAGATGGAATTCGTTAGGCTATTGAGAGCTTACAGCAACCACGTTTCAATCTGGGGTTGGAAAATTTTATGAAAAGTATATGATCCCATAAATGCAGCCGTGGTGATCATTTAAATGATAATGTATTTTCATTATCAATAGCATATCTTACTTTTTATATTGAAATAAACTTTCGATCATTTATTTGAAGAAATGTCTGGATAACAGTAAGTCTGTCGAAGTGAGTTATATGTCTTTAAAAGCTCCGAATGCCGTAAGAATTGGCTCTGACTGCTTTAAAATGTTCATATCCTTAGTTCGGTTCCGCTGGTTTTAACAGCGATTCCACGAAATATTATTTTACTTGCCAATGGATGTTCATTTAATTAAAAACAAACCACAAATAGACATACATATATGCAGTCAAAACACAATTAAACTGCTGTCAAATATGCGAAATGCTGTGGTAAAATTAATTTTTTCCGCATGCAAAAATGGCATGCCATTCAAAATTTCTGTATTTACTTACGTACATATGTATGTATGTATTCAGGATATGCCTGGTGATGACTGGTTTCACACACCATATTCGTACATGATGGGCGTAGATAAGTACAATAAAACGAATATACATACACATGTATATAATTATATAATAATATACATAAATATGTATATTCAACTACACACAACTGCTATGACCACTGAAGTGATGAGAAGATATATATACAGAGAGAGGGAAGATAAAGCATTTCAAGTTCTTACACGAGCATTATTATTATTAAAGCTATTCTCCGACAAAATTCATATTTACACGCTTATTTACATCTGCAAGGACATTCTATTGCACTCCTATGTATAATCACATTCCAATATCACATTACAAACATACAAAAGTATGTATGAACGTTCTAAATCACCTCTTGTGGGAGCAAGTGTGGTGCGCTCATGACAATAGTAGCAGTGAGTTTCTGCTATAGAAACTGGAATTCGAGAAATTTTATTGTACAAGTGCTATTATAGACCACATGACCTTACAGACATGTACATATATTCTCGTACATACTTTCATACGTTTGTTACTATAGTTTTTTCTTTAGAAATATAAAATAAAGTAATGTGGCCTGTAGGAAATCGACGGTACTGATAACACTCACGATAGTTTCTTCTTTTTTTTCCTGGGCACTTATAACTGAGTTAACAAAACATTTCATCTCCTAAACGGCTATGACCAATACTTGCTCTCTTCAACAGGATGGAGCTATATTCGACCAGCGCAGCCAATTCCTCTTTATTCGCGGAACTTTGTGATAAGCCCCTTAATTGCCGAGTGGTTATCAGAAAGCGAGGACAAGACGAAATATCTTCTGTCATCATACAAACAGTAATCGCATGCGCGTCATAATTTTGAAGTCGTTGATAATTTCGTCTATCTAGGAACTAGCATCAACACCAACAATAATGTCAGCCTTGAAGTCCAGCGCAGAGTCACTCTTACCAAAAGGTGCTACTTCGAACTGAGTGGGCAATTGAAAAGTAAAGTCCTCTCTCGGCGAATGCAAACCAAACTCTACAAGTCGCTCATCATACCCGCCCTACTATATGGCCCAGAAGCGTGGACGATAACAACATCTGATGAGTCGGCGTTGGGAGTTTTTGAGAGAAAGGTTTTGCGTATGGTCCTTTGCGTATTGGCAACGGCGAATACCGCAGACGATGGAACGATGAGCTGTACGAGTTATACGGCGACATTGATATAGTTCAGAAAATCGAGAAGCTGGCTAGATCATGTGGTCCGGATGGATGCGAATACTCCAGCTTTGAAATTTTCGATGCAGTACCCGCCGGTGGAAGCAGAGGAAAAGGAAGACCTCTACTCCGTTGGAAAGACCAGGTAGAGAAGGACCTGGCTGTACTTGGTATTACCAATAAAAAAGAAACGAATGGCGCAATGTTGTTAAATGGGCCAAAAATCGCGTAAGCCGTGTCTGCGCCAGTAAAGTAAGTAAGTATCAGAAAGCCGGCGTTCGTATTCAGGTCCGACTCATAAGAAGTTGCTATTGACGTTTAGGGGTTCCACTCTATATATCAGGACGGGAGAGCTAACCGGCTTGTCGAATTTGGTTTTTGTTTGTCGCGAGAGGCTTTACTTACCAATTGTCTACATGGCAAATAGTGATTCTGGAGAAAGTAGAATTGGCCTAACTAGACCAACAAAATAATTATCAGCAGCATAACGAAGTCTTACGATAAAGAATCACATTGTCTAAAAAGACGTTTGCTATTGAACGCCGCAGAGAAGGCTATTCCGATCCTGTCAGAGCTTTTGTGGTTTCCCATTGTCACTTTACACAGGCGCATAAGTTTTGCGGGGATATCAAATTCAGGCGACCAAGAGGCACCTCACTTTCGTGATATCGAAGGCTGCTTTAAAATCAGCAAGGGAACGATGGTTGCCATCTTAGGTTTCCTAAGTCGGAAATCATATTGATATGGTCCAATCAATTTGTTGACGGCGGCTTATTCAACGAGAATCGGCTGACAGGCGCTGATGTCTGTAGCTGTCCGGACGTTTTCGTCATATTTGCATAGCTCAGCCGGTATGTTATAGGCTTTTTCCACTTTGTTGTTCTTAAGCCGTGCGATTACTATTTGGATTGATGAGAAGTCGGTTTATGAAACGTCTGTTTCTTCGCAATCTCTTTGATATTCGCGTTCGCCAAATTCTGGTGTTTCGTTTTCACTGCCATTCGGTAGACTGGAGAAGTGGTCCATCAATAAACTCAGTAGAATCAGTCGTTGGAGCACCTCTTTGGGTCCTATATCAGTGTTGCGATCTTGAAACCTTCAACTCAATTTTTCCTAGAAAATTCAAGTATAGCCCCTATCGGGCAGCTTCTTAAGCACTTTGTACTCACACACTATTTTATCTTCTTTAAAACTCGGTCGTGTTAGGTTAGATCGCTATGTTGGGAGTTAGGAGGTATTTTGTCTAACCAACCTTCATCGTTTCAACTCTTTTTTTGGTCGAAAACAAACTGTTTGTGCAGCGACGATACGTAGAACTTGAAAATTCGAACCACAGTTCCCTTATACTGAGCTGTTCGCGAGCACTCTCAGAGAACAGCTTTTCGATAAAGAACACAAGAAAGCAGTTGACGGGGATACGTTGCTGCCATAACAAAGTAGTTTTTAACCCGTCTCTCAGCAGGTCTTCGAATTTTTATCTTCCAGCAAATTTTTTATGAAGAATGCTTAATGCTTATATCATAAACAATTTCAAAATCATAACTAGACCTTCAACAATCCCACACCGGAATATATATAAATATATATACAAACCTATCCTCAATTCCAACAACTTTACTTACCTTCTTGTATGCGGTATACTTGAGATACTTGTAATGTTTATTATCATATTTGATTTCCTCTGGTGTGAATGTGAATTGCGAATTTATGTGATTATAATGCCGATTGTTATCTTCCTTATCCTACTTGCACGCGACGCCAAGACGATGATGACAACGATAACCATAGGAGGATATGAAGATGGCAATGAAGTTCAAATCGGACATTGGTACCGTTAACCAACAATACAATTTATTTATTATATGTGTGTGAGGCAGTGAGGTGAGCAAAAGACAAGGGCGACGTGATGAAGTGTTGAAGAATGCGAAATCAACGTTCCGCATGAGTAAGCACAACAAAAGCAGGTAAGCAACAACAACATTAAGTAAAAAACCAATGGTTTCGCCGATAGTGTCGCAAGCGTTAAGAAAAAATAATGTTGGTGACGATGTTGTGAGGCAAGCAGGCGGTCGGTTGTGGTCAATGGTGCATCAGTGCGGCAGCGGTGTACAAGAAATGAAGAGAAAAAGAAAAGAGAAAAAGCACAATTTACATTAGAAAAATAGCATAGAAGAATAGAGAATAAAATAACGCAAAAATTTGTAATAAAATTTTCGTTTGCTATTTATTTATTCAGTGAGATTCCACAAAAGGTGCCAACGTGAGTCGTTTCTACTTGGTGACATTTTCAGAAATAAATTTTGAAATCTTTCTACTATTAATGTAAAATTCGTAAGCAAATTTCAGGCTCTTCACTGCGGTCACCTATCGGCAGAGAATGTCAAGACCTCCGAGCGTATTTCTGTCATGAAATAAAAGCTCCTCTCAAAAAGACCTCGGCAGTTCAAAATAAACTGTAGAGGGAAGAAACTCTTGGGAAAACATTCGGAGCTCCGCCAAAAATCGCTTCAATGGTTGCGAAGCGATAAGCTTCAGACAAATTACGTCTTAAGAGAAAATACTCCTTGCCTTTTTTTTGGCACAAAGTGGTCGAGAATTGGAATTTACTTGAGCCAACCACGGCTTTCACTTATCTGAAATCATTTTTGAAACAAAATAGGAAACCCTTATCTTTGTAACAAATCTAAATTCTTGGCGACAATTTTGACAGGCGTTTTATTTCTTCTTGGAAACTACATGCCCAGAAATAATACCCTTTATATAGACTTTCTCTTCACTTTCAAACGCTATCCTTACTTTTATTTGCGTGAACTAGTACATAGCTGATGATGCTTATCAACCAAGAAAATTGTATTTTCTTCGTTAAGAATAATTTGTTGTCATTATATCTTAAATAAAAATCTCTGACACCCTTTACATACCCTGATAGTGATAGAGGAGGTTTCACGCTCTCTCTTTTTAGTCTTTACAATCTTAATCTCGAAAACAGGACAAACTTCAGATCAGTAACAGTATAAGACGTTAAACGGAGAAGTCTTATAAGAACTATGCAAACCAATGAGTGATTCGATGCTATAAACCTGTTTACAAAGAGCGATAAGATCGAATCGATAATTACTCTGTAGGGACTGTCAAACGCTTCGTGTATATTTATGATAAGAAAATAATAACTTTCCATCAAAATAATTTCGATCCATCTCTGAGACAAAAATGTCTTATTTACAGAATAAATATGTAACAGAATCAAGCAGGAATTTTAGTCGGACATTATCATGACCATTGTGAATGTGTCGTAGATCTTCGGCTGAATCCAAATCAAACCCGAAGCATGGAAATACCTGTAGAAAACCAGTAGAGTTGATATCGCCATCTTCGTCTGTTTGTTCGAAAATTAGTCTCTCAGTTTTTGAGATATTTCAACCAAACCTGGCACACAGATGCACTGGTACACTTAAGCGGTCATTTCGGAATCAACCAGATCGAACAATTATAATATACAATATATAGAAGAGCGTTTTTTAAATTTGTGATTAGTGATCATAAATCTGTTTATAGCGTGAAATATGGTATTCTGCAAACATTGGATGAATTATACATTGGTACTGAAAATTAACGAAATCGGTCATATAGTGTAGCTCCCATACGCTTTTTTTCAAAATGAGGCTTTGATCAAAACTCCGGTAAAGAAGTAGAGTTTAAAGCGTGAAATTTCGTATCGCCATAAGTATTTCTATACAAATGGAAATTGAGACGGAAAATATTTCAGATATGAGCAATAATATTTCAGCGTGGCCAAAAACGACTCTTCTTTCCTGTTTTCAATTGCATTCGGTAGGTAATATTCACTCCTTCAAGTGCATTTCTCCTTTTCCTCCTCCTGAAAAAATCTTTCAGCCATTCAGAGGTGGCATAGAAAAAAAATGAAAGTCCCTTCATTTTGTTGGAAGAACTTTAAGGGGCACATCCTGGCCGAAAACCGTGAAACCAGCAATGCGTTTTTCGCTAAGGCTGCTGTTACATTAGAAAATACATTATGGGATCTCTTGGCCTTCTGATGATCTGCACTAAAAATGAGTGAAGATTGTTCTAAAGAAAGAGAGAGGAAGAGCCGTATTTTCATAGTTAGGAGAAGGGTGGTACAAAACCGTAAAAGGTAGCCTAAGGCAAATTCTTTTCCGACCAAAAAAGATAAGCATTGAAAAATAATTTTCGCAAATTCTAGAATAAAAACCGCAAAAAGATGCTACAAACTCTTGACAAAAAAAAGATATATATATATATATTTAGTATACATATTTAGTACTTAAATAGTCGATGTTTTAACCACATAAATTTATACCCTAAAAAGTCTACTTGTGTCTATGGCGACAAATTGTTAAATGAAGAGCACACCATTACATTATTTATAATACTCACTTTAAGTGTGGAAATAAACTTAAATAAATCTTTTAATTCCCTATTTTTCCCTGTTTTCCGTATATTTTCGCTCACTACTTACATCCATAATAGCATTAAAATTGTTGCTGTTTAGAGTGTTGTCCAAGTTGTCGTTCGAGCTATCCAAAATATTGTTATTATTGTTGTTATCCTTATACATTAGCTGTTGTTGCATTTGTTGTTTTTGCTGTTGTTGTTGCTGTTGCTGCTGCTGCTCAATGGTTTTCTTATATTTGGCATTAAAAGCACTCTGTCGCTCACTAATGCGCTGTAAACGCTTGCCATCGGCGTTTTCTGAAAGAGGAAAATGGAAAAAAGAAGAGAGTAGAAAATTTTGAGTAATTTCGCTAAATACGATAATAAGTTGAAAATTTAATATTAGATTTAGATTAAAAAGCCAATTTAATATCGCTTATAAGGTCCTGCCCCTATCTGTGTGGCTTTAGACCTGGTAAATCCTCAATTGATCATATAATCACCAAGCAAAAATGCAGGTGAAAAGTGGCACTCTCTGTAGATTGTTTGACTGCCCTCGACAGCATGAAAATAGCGTCTGCGCCGCTGTGACTGAATTTTCTATCCCCGCATAACTTATACTACGTCTGTGTGTACTGAGGTCAAGTAACACCATAAGCTTCATCAAGATTGTGGAGGATCTCTCCGATCCGTTCGATAGCAAATGAGGTTTCAGTCAATGCGACTCCTAACCATATATCTCCTTATTTTATTGCTGGAAAAAATCAATACGAGCTGCAGAGCTGAATAGAGAACGTACTATAAAAGCTAAAACTGCTGGCGTACGCCGATCTTATTGATGCCATTGGCTTCAACAACTACGCCATAAATTCTGCACTCTCCAGATTGGATAAAGAAGCGAGGTGTATAGGTCTGGTAGTGATCAAGGACATGCCGAAATATCTCCTGATATCAAATAAACAGTCATCGTTCTTGTGCCTCGGCTCCCAACCCACTGTTGCCAGTCATAATTTTGAAGTTGTAGGTAATTCGATAATTTCGTCTATCTTGGAACAAGTATTAAACTCTGTTGCCAATGAGCGTAACTTTAGAGGGAGGAGGCAATTGGAGAGTAAAGTTCTCTTTCGACCCACAAAGACCAGTCGCTCATCGTCGACATCCAGCTGTATGGTGCGGACACGTGGACGATAACAATATCTAATGAGTCGTCGTTAAGAGTTTTCGAGATAAAGGTTTTGTTTAAGATTTATGGTCCTCTGCGAGTACGGTACGACGAATACCGCAGTTGATGAAACGATGAGCTATACGAGTATAGTTGAGCAAATCAAGAAGCAGCTGATTTGATCGAGCTTGTCGTGTGATACGGATGAATACGAACACTCTAGCCTTGAAAGTTTTCATTACCGTACCCGCCGGTGGAAGCATAGGAAGAGGAGATCCCCACTCCGTTGGTCAGGTACCTGGTGAAGATGTACCTGGCTGGGTATTTTGGAGTCAAACAATGAAAAGAAGGAAGGAATGGCGCTTTATTGTTAACATGACTTTAATCGGGTAAACCTGGGCTGCTCCAGAAGAAGACTAATTTTTAGAGTACCTTATACGTTATCAGTAACTTATACGATAGGGCTTAGTGCTCAAAACTTTTGTTTGGGGAAAGATAAAAATGTGCTTAGTATTAAAAAAATATGTATTTAATAAATTTTTTAAAATTAATTATTAATATATAAAATTATGTTTTTTATATTTATTTATTTAATTAAATTTAATATAAAATTTGAAAATAATATTTTTATATATAATTCAATAAAATTGTTAATATACCTGTAAACTTAAGTTTTTTGTAGTTAAAATATTTATTTAATTAAATTTATAATAAAATTTAAGTTTTTTTATTTTTGATTTTATTAATAATATTTTTATATATAATAAATGGTTGAGTAGATCTGCGGTAGAAAGTATATTCCAACCGCTACTTTTAATACCTTTGAATAATTTGTTTACATTTTGTTTTATTTATATATACATATGTTTGTGATTATTGTCCTTTAATGTGCCACAATGCATGCAGGATTTAATTAAGCAGCTTAAATAGTCTGTATCGCTTTCGTTTTGTTGTTTGCCTTTGCGATTTATTACGAAGGCGACTTGGTGACGTGTGTTTTTGTGTTTGTTTTTGCTGTGCAATAAAATCTTTCGTTTGTTTATAATCTGGCATTGTTAAATATGGCTGTCTGCACACTGATATATGTACATATGTTTGTTTATTAAAGGTACAAAGTCACGAATATTGCCGTCTCTTCTCCTCTTCTCTTCTTCTCTCAGATACTTTGATTGTTAACTGTTTATTTTCAAAAGCTCAGTGAGAGGTATAATTTTCGGTTTGTTTTAGAGATTATTTATATTTAGTTTAAATTGCAGTACTAATATTTGTGTAATTACGCACGAAAGGGTATATATCTACTCGTATTTATGTGTTTTTTTGCACCAACGTTGAGGTCTTTCGGTGCATGAAATTTTTCGAAATGGATTCTTCAGTGAATGGGTAAAATTTTTCCAATTTAGATAATCGTTTGGGGTCTGTCGATAGTACGGCCTTTACTTTCGGCATACATATTTCCCCTTCTGTTTGGAATGGGAAATACTCATAAGTAGAGGAAATGTTTGCGTCGGCACGAGGAATAATCGAGTTTTCCGGAAGATTTGTGCTCCTTTGCATATTGGTAATGACGAATATGACGTGAGAGACAGGGGCTACATTGGCAACGTTATGCCGATCAAATTTATAAAATCACTTCAGCTTTGAAAGTAAATATTTGATACAGTTTCCGTCGGTGAAAGCAGAGGAAGAGGAAGATCTCCACTCAGTTGTGAGGATCTGGAGGGCGACCTGGTTTCACTTAGCATTTCTAGCTGGCACCAAACAGCGAAAATAGCTGCTTCAGCTATAGTCACGTAATCGATGCCTACGTCAAAAAGGTAGTTAGTAATAGAAAGGCCAAGCAATTAGCATTATTATAAAGGTAAAGCAGTCGTCTCGAGTAAATTCCATCCGAGTGGCTCAATTTTCGACCACTTTCAACAGCAACTGAGGTCATTTGTCAGCAATGATGCGTCGATTATTTTCTTCTCTCGAACTTAGCTACCTAGACAAGTGACTCCTTAATCCTCACACAAATTGTAAGAATAGTCAAGTGGCGTTGAATGGCTCGACCTTGGATGACACGCCGTAGACCCACTGCCCAACATTAAGCCAAAATAAACTTTTTCTTCAATTCAACCAAAGATCGTCCAGATCAACATCCTCTCATTCAGAAACAAAAGAGTCCTTAACCAATGCTCTGAGCATTTTCCATTCACTATAATATTATGACCGGCTTCATTTTTAGAGAAACTTGGAAAAATGATACTCTCTGCCCATAGATTTCACCAAAGAGTGACTTTTTGAAGACTTAAGGATATCTTGAGAAAGGCTTATCATTACCCCGAATGTGACAATTTTGATATTTATTAATTCAACTAAAAACAAGCTTGATCGGTGTACAAAACATTCTTGTGAAAATTTGGTTTGGTAGCTATCTCGTTTTGGGCGCATTCAACGAACGTGCAATCCTTTAGGTTTAAATTTTTACCAAGTTCCTTCCGCAAAGTCTTTTACAAAGTGGATGGGCACAGTTCCAATTGTTACGTGCAATGGCGGATGAATTCATTTGGGTCTTCTTTGATATTCTGCTCCACAGCAGCAATAGAGTCTTTAATGCGCACTGTACGGCATCTCTGAAGAAGGGAATGATCCATGACTGTCCGCATTACCAGCCCTACTGGGCTATTATGTCGACAGAATGAAATACAGAACGACAGAAATCTCTGTAAAGCTGAGAGATGACAGATCAATCTGATCCCATCGGTATAAATATTGCTGTGTGTCTCTCCCTCTCTCCTTCTCTCCTGTCTGTTCCTTACCTACTATGTACCATAGTTAATATACCATTTGATGTTCATTAAAGGTATATAAACTATTTTGTGCGCCGCTATTATATATGTATGGATTTTAACAAACTTAATCGCTTCGTTGCATTTTTAAACAAATAAATTGATGTAACACACACATTCATCAGCTGAAACTTAATTAAACTAATTAATTTAATAAAAAAAATTGTGTGAAGCCAGCAACTGAAAGCGACAGCGAGTGTGGCAACTAAAATCACAGGCAAAGGCCTGTGAAGCCGATGCTGTATTTCTCATGCACCGACAGCGCGTTCAAAGGATTGCCGCACACAAAATGTCGAACATAATTTACATAAAGTAATTGAATGGCAAATAAATTGTGGTGAGTGCAGAGAGGCTATTAAGAGAGTAAGTATAGGCTGCAGGATATGGCCATGACAAGCATGATAGGCCGTGTCATGTGGTTCGCCTTGCAGGCGCATTTCAAGTGAGTAACGGTGAAAATACTCAAAACGTTTTGATGTACGAGTGCTATTTGTGCTGCTTAGAGTAACTTAAAATATTTCTCTCGGCCTAAAAATGGAAGTAAATTCCGAGCATTTTCGAGCGAAAATTTTTTTACAACTTCCGCCGTGGATTACCCCAAGCAACAGTGCATCGATGCACGGAATTCAATTTTTGGCGATGAAATTCCATCAAGGACCAGTGTTAATCGATGAAGTGGTGGATTCGACTAAGGTCGTGGAACACTCTGAGACGAGTTTCATGAGATCGTCGAAAACCCAAACTATTGATAGAAGCTGATACTACCGTATACGGTAAATTCTGCGTGGTACCCAATCTCTTGTTTGCCAGTTGTCTCTCAAGAAATCAGGGAAATAACCGCCAAAGATGAATTACTTCTGATCACAACTTTGCGAGCTCTGACAGAGATAAGAAAGCCGTATAAGATTCTAAACTATTAAAGTATCTGCAAGCCGAAATATTTGAAATATTTGCGAAATGGCGACAGGAAAAGAATACACATCTTTGTGGTTAGTAAAGCTGCTATAAAAGCCTTAATTTCTTAACTGACGAATCGGCCAAGGAGGGTGCCTATTTGAAACAGGACGCACCGACGAACATTCCAGTTCCATTCAGGACAGTGAAACAAAAGCAAGAAGTAATACTAGTACGACAGGCGAATAGAATAAAGGAATGAACTTAGGGCTGCAGAATCACACAATACTAAACCCACAAAGTTTGTACTATCTGTAAAAAAGTCGGACTCTAGGATTACGGCGTCGCCTGCCATTAAAATAGGTCTGATTGTGGTCAACAAATGTATAAAAGGCAAGGAATGTGTGGAGGCAGTGAAGCAAATAATCTCTTAGGGTTCGGCAATCGGCAGACAAAAGCTATGTCGACTTGGCACAGAAAGGCTACAGGATCTTCGATCGCCAATAGCCAAGAAGCCAGGACGACTATTTCAGTTTGCAAAAAGCAATGTTCTTCACACTAGAGACATAATTGGAGTGTATGCGGCAGTGCTGCTTGATCGCATGTAGTGTATCTGACAACACTATGAATGTATTTTCGTCTATGCGGGACCCAAAGCGGTTGATGCGCTCAAAACGCCTGTTTTGGAGATATCTCTACCAGAGTGGCAAAAGTGCTACGACAATTGGTTCGACGCATGCAAAAGTATATAGATTTTAGTCGAGAATATTTCGAAAATTATTGAACCTATTTTTGGCGATTAATTTTTGGTTTTGTTCTTTAATCTCGCAATCTAAAAGGCAAACGTCGTTTATACCGGGCACATCTTATAATAGCGAGGAAGTAATTTTCTGTGCATTCTTGCGCTCTGACGAGCTTTGATTCCGGTGTTAAGTGATAGAGAGGTTTTTAACCATTAACCGCAATATATCGATGGGTATATTATGTTTTGTTTCGTTTAAATATAGGCAGTACTTGAGTTTCAGAGCCATCATCATGTTCTTTATCTTTTGTTCATTGACATTGGGCAAAAGCGGCACCTACTTTGAGCCAAGCCTTCTCTTGCTTTTTATATATTGGATGAGTGCATAAGTTCGTGTCTGATTTTAAGTGCAAACTAAAATTGAAACTTTTTGAAAGAAGCGCTTTTATTAATCAATTACGTTTTCGCCATCATGTTCGGCAATTCACTCCCAACGTTCAACCAATTTACGGATGCCTGATTCATAGAAATCGCGCGGTTTCTCGTTGAAAAAGCTGTCAAGGTGGTTTTTGACGCCTTCCCCACTTTAAAATTTTTTTTTCCATTCAAATTGTTCTTCAGCGATCGAAACAAATGATAATCAGAAGGTGCAATGTCGGGTGAAATGGGGGGATGCGGTATGATTTCCCAATTCATCTCCTTCAGGTTGGCCAGGGTCGGTTTTGCAACATGTGGCCTGGCGTTGTCATGATGGAAAAGAACTCCTTTGCGATTGGCAAAAATTGGACGTTTTTCATCAATTGCTTTCTTCAATTCGACCAATTGCTGACAATACTTGTTGGCAGTGATCGTTTCTCCAGCTGGCAAGAGCTCAAAATAGATCACGCCTCGGATATCCCACCAAATGCACAGCAGTACCTTCATCGGATGCAATCCACCTTTCCACATCGGTTCCGCCCTTCGTGTGCCTGTTTCCATGTTCTTTTGCGTTGAACATTGTACAGGATCCATTTTTCATCACCAGTCGAAGCAAAGAAATTGCTGTTGACATACGGTCCACTTTGTTTTTTTCACTCAACTGATGTGGCACCCATGTATCGAGCTTCAAAGTGAACCCAACCTTTTTTAAACGACGAAACACAGTTGATTTGTTGACGTTCAATTCACTGGCAGCCTCTTCCGTCGAAATAAGTGAGTTATTCGCAACTAAAGTCCTTAGAACATCGTCATCAAGCTCAGAAGTCCGTCCACTGCGAGGTTGATCTTCGAGGTTAAAATCTCCAGAACGAAATTTCGCGAACCATTTTTTTACTGTGCGGAGTGTTGGAGCACGGTCCAAATAAACTTCGCGAATATCTTTAGTTGCAGCGTCTACTGTTTTTCCTTTGCGGAACTCGTATAACATAATATGACGAATATGATCTTTTTCGTTGTCCATCTTCCATGCGTTTTTTCACTAAGCACCTCAAATCAAAAAGAAGTTATTTTATGCTTGATTTACAGTTCGGACTGTCACCTTTTCAACGATATATATGTGTATATGTGTATGTATATATTTCTTTCACGAGCGCCACTCTCAAACGATTCGAACGGCATCTAGCGGAATCGTGCACGAACTTATGCACTCATCCAATAGCTACAGAGTCAGCTACTAAGTCACCTGACTTCATTTTTCGATCATTCAAAACGATTTTGTGGATGCATGGAAGTTTTCTGAGGTCACCGACTCATTCCGTCGTCTACCGTGTTCTATAACACGACCTTTAACATTCTTCAAATAACATTTATTATCATAAAATTACTAAGTAAAATTGCTTGCTCAATTTTATTTCTACAATTACGCTGTCAAAGCTTAACTCTACTGGCATATTTACTTTACAGAAATATTAAGACAACTTCATTTTTTGCAAAAGCATTTCAAAAAGTAAATATTTTTTCCTTTCGTATCGGAGTAACCATACTCACTCACTTACTTACTTGCATGTACGTCGACAGGCATATGATAACTTAATGGACATAATAAATATATATAAATGTTTGTTTGTGCCAGTCAAAGTAAGAGTCATTTTATTTGAATTCCCCTTTTGGTCTCGCCACTTGATGTTGAGTGCGGCTCTTAGAAACCACTATGTGGAGACTTTGCTATGGTATGGCATGTGGGCGAGTTATTGGTGGACAAAATTTTTATTTCAACTATTTTAAAAATATACATACACATACTGCATCACTAAGAAGAATGAATATCTGTTATCTGTGTTTTTTGTGTTTTTTTTTTACTTACCCTTGCATGGACAGAATCCCTTGCACGCTATCCTTATGGATGTTGAATGTATACAGTTGTGGTAATCCAATCTGCATAGCGATGAGTATGTACGGTTGTCGGCGCCGCATAAGAAAGTCGGTTTTGCTACCGGGCAGGGCTTACAGTTGCTGTGGATGAGCAAATATGTATGGATTTCCATTGTGGGCCAAAGAGTTGAGCCAGTAGGTTGATGGCACGTCGGTAGGGATCGGTGAATAGTTGCATATGGATGGCAGCAAGGATGCAGCGGCACAGAAGTTGGAGTGTAGAGTAGACAGCGTAGAGTAGTTAACCAAACGGCAGCATGAAAGGAGCAAACAACAACAAAACATAAAAAAGAGAAAAGCAGAAGAAGAGTGGAAAACGAGCAAACGTTATTGAACAGTTGAAAGTTGAGTGCAGCAAATTGCTGCGCTTCTGACAATGCAGAGTTGCAGCGAGTGAATGAGTGTATATTTATTTGTGTGTGTATTCGTATGTATGTATTTGTGTGTGTATATGTGTGTGCTCGTGTTTGTGAAGTAGTGGAAAATTAATTTCTTATGCAAATTATTGCCCGCTTTCAGGCAAACAAGCAGGCAGCCGTCCACAATTGGCGGTAGCAGTCAGCTGCCGGTATATCTGAAAGGCTACTATCACACGTACCATCATACGAGTATACATACATACTATACATTTCTACACACACAAATCTTTCTGTGGATTTAAGTTTTTCTAATATACTATTGTATAAAAATTTTGTATTTCTAAAGTTTACGCAGTTATAGTAGATAACATCACTGTCTTTTACACGTTGCAAAATCAACCAAAAATAATTAAAAAAAAAAAATTAAAAATATTCTGTCCAGATTTTTTAGGCAACCAATTTTTGATATATTTTCTAACGCATTATATTATTAGCTCGGTGAAGGTCGTATAAGGTTCGCATCTTCGCTTAAATGCTGCTAACTAAACAACGCCTGGACGGTTTTCTGTGATTCGCACCAATTCAGATTGGTTTTCTGTCAAGTAAATAGAATGCGGGAAATGGATCAGATGTCGGTCTTATTGCTTACATTTTTCGAGCAACATTTGACATTTCTTTTCTAAACAAATTTAAAACATTAAAGATTTTTTTCCGTAAATTGTTTTTCATAAAATGGATAATTTTTCTTTTCGTTTGCCATTTATATAATATTATTTGTTGGGACCAGTTGGCAATTCATCAACACATTCCCTCTTCCGTTTTTTAATCCTATCCTAGTTAACCAACTTATGAAACAAGAAGTAGAGCTAAAAAATCAATAACATAAAATCTTTTAAAATAAACTAATGTGGTGTAGCCTAGAGCGGCTCAGGATACAAACTTACTTAAATACAAACATATAGAGTAAGTTGGTAGAAGGTTAGAAGGTTAGTAGTACCCAAAAAATTGACGAGCATGACCATCATGCGATAGCTGGCGTGAAAAATTGCATAAAATCAGCAATAACCACATGAAAAAATAAGCTCGTTGTATGAGTGCCATATGAGTTAATGAGAAAAATCCCCATAGGTGAATGACAACAAATTTAACTCATTTCTGAAGCAGATGTTGACTGAGGATGAGAATTGAATCACTTACAAATAAAAACGGTTGTGGTCGAGGGGCAGTGTTCCAACACAATCGGTCCCCAAGCCAGTATTCAGGAAGCAACCATCCGCTATGAGCTGCTCACATACGGTAAAGCTTTTAATTGTCCGCAATTGGACCGTATGAAGGTAGCAACCGCCCAAAAGTGCCTAGCACAAGAGGGGGATTGTCTTTCATCAGGACAACGCCAGACCACATATGTCGATAGTGATTCGCTAGCAGCTCTGCAAGCTGGCTATGCTTGCGTTTCATAGGCCAGATCCTGCACCAAGTGATAACTATCTCTTCCTGTCTTGGGCAAATGGTTTATCTGGCGAAGCATTGACCTCAAGAGATGCCACGGAAAATCGATTGCTACAATTTTTTGGCAATAGGGACTAAGGTTTATATGAAAGAGTCATAATGACATTAAAATTGGCAAATAAATGAGTGATCAAAAAGTCTACAATTATGATAAATGTAAAGATAATGCATTACTTTTTATTAGATGGGCATATTTCGCAAGATTAATTCAGAAAATTGCCATTCAAATTCGTTTAAAGCCACGTAAATAATATATTGACAATTTAAAAACTAATTTAATTGGTCTAAAAACAAATCTGAATTTCCGTTTAAGCTTTTAAGGGAATACATTTTCTGAAAACAAAAATATTTTTGACACTTCGTCAAATGCACTATACTCGTATATATATCCAACAACCAACTTTCTATCAAAAGAATATTTCAAAAAAAAAAAAAAAATTGTAAAATTCAAAAAATGAATAAGAATTAAATTTTACTGTTATAACAGATTTGACAGCTGACAGATGACAACTGATGTTAGCAACAAATTAACTATAACACCTTTATACATACATAAACACGCCAGACGCGACCACAAAAAGTAGCAGACACCGAGGGTAACCTGAAGAGGGATTTGTTCATAGATAAATATAACGCAAAAGGTGGAGAATAATTGACAGAATGGCAAAGAAATGTGAGGGATATAACAACAAGCACAAATTGCCGAATGGAGTAGCAGCAAGAGAGGGAAAACTGTCAACGGTGTGAAGAAAAGTTTATAGAGTAATACTTGAGGTTGTTGGGTTATCAACGCCGCCTAACACAAGGTACGGCGTTAGTGTAACAACAACAAATAAATGGTAAAATATATATGCTTATGTATAACAACGCACTGAAATATTTCCAAAAATTGTTGCATAGAAACACAAAGAGCCACAACCAAACTAATAAATAAATGAAAAAGTTGTGATATTGAATTTCCATTATTGAATTTTGTTGTTTGCTATTCGTTAGACAAAAATGTTGGCATAAGGAAAAGGATAAAATAACAAAATTGTCGTGTTAAAATACTGTCGATGGGGGATGTAGGGTGAGTAAAAGGTATCAAACGACAACAAATAACGAAAGGTTTGTAATGTTTGAGTTATCGCGTACATAAATATATATATACACATATATATATGCTTATACGAATATATATAAATATATTTCTATAGTTCATATATATATACATACGCTTCTATTTTCAATAACAAAATATCGGTGTAATATACACCAACGCGGTGACACAGAGAGCAAATATTGTCAGAGTCGAGTTTAGTGTGCGGCGTAAGAAAAATAAAATAAAAGAAAATAAAAATAAAGTGCAAACAACTTTCACAAAACTATGGTAAAGATAACTAAAGGGTGAAAGAAATGAAAAAATACGGAAAATAAAAATTACAAGATACTAAAAAAAGATGTATTTTGCACAAAAACTTTTATATACATATATACTCGCATATGAAAAATTCCAAAAAAAGGACACCGTCAATCTGATGGCATTACGTCTTGTATTTTTTGTGGTTTCGCTAGTGGCAGTCAAAAAGCCAAAACATATTTACGAAACAAATATTAAATACACAATATGAGGAAATAATAGCGCTTTGAGAATGACAAAAAACGTCACCAAAGCGCGGCATAAATGACAAAAAATAAAAATTAAATAAAAAGTTGTAAAAAAAAAAATTATTTCAACTACCAGTTGTAGCGTTCAACATTTGTAATTGTTGTTGTGTGCATTGTGGGTTCAGCAGTGTTCCGTATGGAGTACACAACGACTGTTAGTCCAATTCAAGCTCATGCATGGGTAATAGAAAGATTGCAGGTCACCAAAGTTTTACACATTTTTGCTGCTTAAGTACTCTTATCTATATTTAATTTTCACATTCAGACGAAGAAGAATTATTTAAGATTGTTCTATTTGAAAAATGCACTTAAAATACGCTTTTACAAAATTATAAATAAATAAAAAATGTTGGGTTCACCCTCCTTGCCAGGGAGTGACAATTAAAAAGTATAATTTTCTATGTCTAGAACTTGACATTTGTCATTCTGACCGTTCTTTCAAAAGAGTAAATTAAATTTCGTGCGACGTGGTGTATGAGTAACTTTTTTACTTCAACTGGAAATAATGTTTATTTTTTTCTAATTTACTTAGACAATTCGAATTTAGCAGATATAAATGATTATTAGAGAGATAAAAGTGACTCATGCAAGCCATGAGCTTGTAAAATTTGGATTTCAAAAGATTTCAGCGTTAGAAGAAAGCACCGAATCAACAGCTGCATTGTGAAACTTTTTCTTCCATCAATTTCGCCAAATGGATTTTTTGTTTTTGTAAAATTATTTTTGAACGTTATTCGAAGTTTTTAAATTTCATGGGCTTGGAGGGTGCGATTGCCGAAATTTTTTGTTATGACCAGGAAGTACGATCCCCCCTCTCCCCCCCTCCTGTTTATATACCTTTTCTGGTAGATTAACTTTAATCTGAAGTATGTAAGAATCAGAAAAAGGCGAAATAGAGACATCAAAATTTATACCGATAGCGTCAGAATCGGAAGTTGAAATGATTCAGCCATGTCCATCTGCTAGTACCCAAACTAGTCCCTTGTTTTTTGAGATAATTCAACCAAACTCGGTACACAGAAATAATGGGACATTTAAATGATAATTTGTCGAAGCCGGCGAGATCGGGCCATTGTGGCATATATGCGATCGATTTGAGAATTCGGTTCATTTGCACTACCTGGGGAAGTGGCTAAGCGTAAAGCCACAGTTAAGAATCAACACTAAAAATTATAAACATTTCTTTGAAAGCTGCTTAATTGTCCAAGCACCAATTTCCATACGAGAAATGTCAGCCCGAACTTAGTAGATTTTAATGAACAGCCATGTCAATATAGACGAAGATCTATATATGTAACAAATTTCGTGAAAATCGAAAAATTTAAAAATAAACTCGGTTTTATCGAATAGGTTGGTCCCAGGTACTCGTACATATCCTGGAAAATCCTTTCTTATCGAATGCATACGTCATAAGCAGAGCACTCTCTCCAAGTGTCAATTACGTCAATACGATGATCAGTGATTTTGGGCTATGCGTTGATCCGTCAGCCATTCAGGCAAAAGTCTTATTATATATATGTATATATATATACTATTTGCTTGTAAAAAAATTAAATTTGTATTCAA